AAGCGATACGTCAAGTTGCGACACAAAGTCAGTGACATTGAAATAGAAATTGATTTAACTGACAAGCTCCAAGGGGTATTCTACTCAGAGCTCAAAGTCGAGATCCCAAGGTTGTTTGAACTCTTTCATCTCGACTATCGAGGTGGAGTAACGGTGATATCTCACCTTGCAACACAAGGTTAATAATGCCGAGATAGAAATCGAATAAGCTGACGGCCCTTAAAGCGGAGTGCGATTCGGAGATCAAAGCCAGGATACCAAGGATCGTCGAACTAATCGGTACCACACGTGGTGTTACTGGGTCAGTGGCAGCACGAACCATAAAATACCTTGCGAATCAAGGTAAGTTATATCGAAAGAGGAGTCGAACAAACCAAAACCTTTCAAAGAGAAATTCAATTCGGAGATCAAAGCTGTGATACCAAATATTATTGGAATGCTCACCGAGGAAGACATTTTCGTTCGACGTAGCATAGTAGGGGTGTTGCTTGATCTTGCAAAACAAGGTCAGAGATCTCGAAATAGAAATTGAACAAATTGACACCCTCCAAAGGGAAATTTCTCACAGAGATCAAAGCTGGGATACCAAGGATTGTTGAATCGGTCACTGAGACCACTAACCATACGAGGGAAGCCAGGGAACTGATGGATCACCTTATAAAACAGGGTCAGCATTGTCAAAATATAAACTGACGAACTGACATCCTCCAAAGTGGAGCTTCATCCAGAAATCAAAGCCAGGATACCACACATCATCGAACTACTCGCTAGCACTCCTAATCCGGTTGGATCTAACGCACTAGATGTCATAGGGGACCTGTCAACGCAGGGTCAGTTATATTAAATAGAACGCAAACAAACTGACGGTCGCCCAAAGCGGCATTTCACGGAGAGATCAGGGCCGGGATACCAACGATCGTCAAACTACTGGTCGACAGCAAGTGGGGTCCAAGTCCTGTAGTAGTAGCGATAGGTAAACTTGTAAAACAGCGTCAGTAAGGGTGAGATAAAAAATGAGCCAACTAACGGCCTCTAAAGCGGGATTCCACTCGGAGATCAAAGTCGGGATACCAAGGATACTCGAAATATTCTCTGATCTCCCTTATTGGGCTCAATATAGCGCAATCACGGCAATAGGTAGCTTTGCAACGCAAGGTCGGTATCATCCAAATACCAACGGAATGGACTGACAGCTTCCAAAGCCGAATTTCACATGAGTATCAAAGTTCACATACCAAAAATCCTCGATTTATTCGTCAGAATGGATCCTTGGGATCAGAGAGAAGCGGCAAAAGCGATAAGCAACCTTGCGACACAAGGTCAGTAATGTCGAGATATAGGTTGAACAAACTGACAACCCTTCAAAGTGGTATTTCAATCGGAAATCAATGCAGGGATAGCAAATATCGTCGAATTGCTCACTAACAACTCTTATCATGTTCGGCACGGAGCATTAAGAGCAATAAGTCTCCTCGCCACTCAAGGCTAGTAACGTCAAGCTATACAACCAATGACCTAACCTCTATTACAGTTAAATTTGAGGCCAAAGATGCAATAATAAAGGTCGTCGAGCTACTCGCGGATGGTTCTCAAGATGTTCGGAATACTGCGATAAAGGCGTTGGGTAACTTTGCGATACAAGGTGAGGACCTTGAATATGAGATTCAGCCAAATTGAGGCCACATTTAGAAGGATTCCGGCATGATATTCAGTCTATTGTCCCACATATAATGGAACGACTCCTTAACAGAGCTGCGGATACTCGGGGCGCCGCATTGGAGGCCATCCAAAGTATCGCTA